GTTTTGGGGTGTGTATTGTTTGTTGTAGGTAAAAGGGGTTTTGTGTTTGTAAAGTGGTGTGTAGTGATAGTGTTGTGGGGGTTTGTGGTATAAAGGTTGTGGGGTGGGTATAGTTGGGTGTGTCAAGGTTTTTTCATAGTGTGGGGGTTGTGAGTGTATAGGTTGTGTGTGTGGGGTTTTAGTTTGTGTGGGGTTTATAGGGGTGTTTTGTTGGGGTTTTAGTGTCGTGTAGGTATTTCGTGTGTTGGGGTAAAGTGTGTGTAAATGTATAGTGTGTTGGGGGTTTAGGGGGTTTTTTGTGGGGTTGGGGGTTTAAAATGTGTGTTTAGTGTATAGTGTTTTTGTAAATGATTAGTGTGTTGGTGTTAATTGTGTGCGGGGTGTATAGTTTTGTGTGGGGTTTAAGGGGGTGTGGGGGGGTAAGGGGGTATAGTGGGGTGTTGGTTGGGGGTAAATTTGTGTGTATGTATAATGTTGTGGTGTATTGTGTGTTTGGGGTAGTGTATAGTGTTGTAGTGGATAGTGTGTGTGGTGTTTTTAAAGTGTGTGTGGGGGTGTATAGTGTGTGTGGGTTGTTGTTTGGTGTGTTGGGGTTAGTGTTAGTTTATTGTGTGGGGTAATGTTTAAGTTTTTGTGTGTATTTTTTAGTGTTGGTGGGGCAAATGTGTTGTGATAGTTGGGGGTGTTGGATTTTTTAGTGTGTGTTGGGGTTTTAAAAATTGTGTTGTATGTAAGTGTGTTTGGTGTATAGTGTGTGTTTTAATTTTTAGTGTTGTGGTGTATAGTGTGTTGGGGGTATAGTGGGTGAGGTTTAATTTTTGTGGTGTGTTAATGTGGGTGAAAAGTTTTTAGTGTATAGTGGAGTTTTGGGTGTTTTAGTTTTTGTGGGGGTGTATGTGGTGGGGTTTTTGGGGTATATTTTTTTGTGTAGGTATAGTGTGTGTGGTTAAATGTGTGGTGTTATTTGGTTGTGGTGTACCCGTGTTGGGGTGTTTTAAATGTTGTGGTGTATAGGGGTGTTGTTTGTTTATAGTGTGTGTGGGTAAAAATTTGGGGTGAGTGTATATGTGTGTGGGGGTATAGTGGGGTTTAAATTTTGTGTTGTGGTGTATTGTGTTTGGGGTTTTTGGGGTTTTTTTTATTTTTTTTTTTTTAGTGTTTTTGTGTGTGTTGGTGTATAGTGTGTGGTTGAAATTTGTGTTTTTGGTTTTTGTGTATAGGGGGTTGGGGGGTTGTTGTTTTAAATGTGTGTGGGAGTGTATTGTGTTGTGTGCAATGTTATAGTGTTTGTGTGGTTTAGGTATAGTTGGGTTTTATTTGGTGGGGGTTGATAGGGGTGTGGGGTTAAGTTGGGGTTTAGTGTGTGTGTAGTGAAGTGTGGTGTAATGTATAAATTGGTTGTTTTTTTTTGGGGGGTATAGTGTGTGTTAGGGATGTGGGGTGTGGGGTATAAATGTGGGTGGTTAGGGGTTATGTTTTGTGTTGGGGTATATGTGTGTGTAAAGTTTAAATGTGTGTTTGTTTTATGTGTGTGTAGTGTAAGGGGGGGTGGGGTGGTTTTTAAAATTGTTTTGGGGATTTTTTAGTGTGGTTGTGGTTTTTTTATTGTGTGGGTTTTGGGGTATTTGGGGGTTTTTGTGGTGTATAGTGTTTTGGTGTGTATAGTGTGTGTGTATGTAAGTGTGTGTGGTGTATAGGTTTTGAGTGTTATTGGTTGGGGTTTGTGGGGGTTTTATAGGGGTTTGTTGTTTGGGGTATTTTGTGTGTGGTGACAAAAGGGGGGTTTTTGTGTGTATTTTTGTGGGGGTTGGGGTTTTTTTTGTTGTGTGTAGTGTATTTTGGGTGTGGGTGTTATGTGTGGTGTATTTTTTAGTGTGTTTTGGTGTATAGTTTGTTGGGGATAGTGTTTGTGGGGTATAGGTGGTGTGGGGTTTTAAATGTGTGTGGGGTAATGTGTGTTAGGTATGTGTGTGGGTTTTTTTTTGTAAGTGTGGGGGTGTGTATAGGTGTGTTAAATGTATAGTTGTGGTGTTTTAAAGGGGGTGGGGTTAGGGGGGTACAGTGTTGTGTAGTGTATAGTGGTGTGGAGTGTAAGTGGTGTTTTGGGGTATAGGGGTGTGTAGTGGATAGTGTTTTTGGTGTATAGTGTGTGTGGTGTAATTAAATGTTGGGGGTGTATAGGGGTGGTGTTTTGTGTATGTGTGTGTGGGGTATAGTGTGGGGTGTGTTTTATAGTGTTTTGTAATGTATAATTGTGGTGTATTGTTGTGTGTGTAGTGTATAGGGTGTGTGGTGTATAGTTTTTGTTGTGTGTATAGGTTGTTTGTATAGTTGTGTGTATTTTATTTGGTGGGGGTGAAGTTGTGGGTGTCTGTGGGTGTGGAGGGTATAGTTGTTGGTGTTAATATGTGGTTTTAGGGGTATAGTGTGTGTGGTATATTTTTGGGGGTGTGTGTATTTTATAGTGTGTGGTTGGAATTGTGGGTGTATAGTGTGGTGGTGTAAAAGGGTGTGTGGTTTTATTTTTGTGTGAAATGTAATTGTGGGGGTTTGTTTAGGTGTTAGTGTGTGGGGTGTATTTTTTTTTTGTGGGTGTGGTGTATAGTGTGGTGTTGTGTTTAGTTTGTTTGTGGTGTTTAAAGGGGTGTGAAATGTATAGGTTTTGGGGGTAAGTGTTGTGTAGTTTTATTTGTGTGTGTGCGTGTTTTGTGTGTGTGGGAGTGTTACCTGTTTTGTTAGTGTTGTGTGTGGAGATGTTGTTTTGGGGTTTGGTGTAGTGTTAGTGTTTTGGTGTAAAATGTTTGGTGTGTAGTGTTAAGTGTGTGTGTGTTTTTGGGGTTGGGGTGGTGTATAGTGTGTGAGGGGTATAGTGTTGGGAAAAGGGGTATGTGTGTGTTGAGTGTTAGTGTGTGGATGGATAGTTGGTTTTTGTTGGGGGGTTTTAGGGTTGAGGTGTATAGGGGTGTGAGTGTTTTTTGTGGTGAGGGGTATAGTTGTGAAATTGTGTTTAAATGTGTGTGTTAGGGGTTTAAGTGTGTTGGGGGTTTTTTTGTTTTGGGGTAGTTTTTTGGTTTGGGGGTTTTTAGTGTGTGGGTGTGTAATTTTGTGGGTGTTTTGTGTGAGGGGTGCTAGTGTGTGGGGGTGTAAATGGGAGGTGATAGTGGGGGTGAAAATGTCTATTATAGGTGTTTGAGTGTTGTTTGGGGTATAGTTTGGGTTACCTGTTGAGGTTTGTTTGTGTTGGGTTGTTTTTGAGTGTATGGTGGGGTGGGTTTTGGCTTTATTTGTTATTTTTGGTTTAGGGGGGGAAGTTGTTGGGTTTAAGTTGTAATTTTGTTATAGTTTTAAATGTCTTAAAAGTGTATTGTTTGTGTATTTTTAGTTTTAAATGTTAAATTTTTTGGTATTTCTATTTGTAAGGGTTTAATTTAATGTTGGATTTTTTTGTGTTTTGAAAATTTGTTTTGAATTGTTATTTGGAGTTTTAATAAGTTTTAGGTTTTAATGTTAGTGTTAGGGTGAATTTAATTTTTTATAAAATTTTTTTTAGGTTTTTTGAAAGGGTGTATAGTGTGTGAGTGTATAGTGTGTGAGTTAAAAGTGTAGGTGTGTAGTGTTGATGTTTTAATTGTGAGATGTAATGTTGATTTTTGTATGTTGAGGTGTTATAGGTGTGAGTGAAATAGTGTGTGAGTTAATTGTGAGTGATAGTGTGTAAGTGTGTAGTGTGTGAGTGTTAGTGTGTAGGTTATATGTGTGATAGTGATAGTATGGAGGTTAATTGTGAGGTGCATAGTGTGTGAGTTTATAGTGTGTGAGGTGTGTATTGTGTGACGTGTGTAGTGTGTGACGTGTGTAGTGTGTGACGTGTGTAGAATGAGAAGAGCGATGAGTAGTGTGTGTGTACTCACCTACGTGTACTCATCTATATGTGATTACAGGAGTCGACTCTCTGATCCTGGCCCCGGTACTAGTTTCGCTCTCTCCTGGCTTCGAGAGCCTTATCGTACCTCCTGTACGTCCTGTGTCTGTGTATGTGTGTATGTGTGGTGTGTGTGTGTGTGTGTACTCACCTATTTGTACTCACCTATTTGTGGTTGCAGGGGTCGAGTCCTAGCTCCTGGCCCCGCCTCTTCACCGGTTGCTACTAGGCCCTCTCTCTCCCCGCTCCATGAGCTTTATCAAACCTCGTCTTAAAACTGTGTATGGTTCCTGCCTCCACTACGTCATTTTCTAGGCTATTCCACTGCCTTACAACTCTATGACTGAAGAAATACTTCCTACTATCTCTCTGACTCATTTGTGTCTTCAACTTCCAATTGTGGCCTCTTGTTTCTGTGTCCCTCCCTGGAACATCCTGTCCTTGTCCACCTTGTCTATTCCACGCAGTATTTTATATGTCGTTATCATGTCTCCCCTGACCCTCCTGTCCTCCAGTGTCGTCAGGCCGATTTCCCTTAATCTTTCTTCATAGGACATTCCCTTAGCTCTGGAACTAACCTTGTTGCAAACCTTTGTACTTTCTCTAGTTTTCTTGACGTGCTTTATCAAGTGCGGGTTCCAAACAGGTGCTGCATACTCCAGTATGGGCCTGACATACACGGTGTACAGTGTCTTGAATGATTCCTTACTAAGGTATCGGAATGCTGTTCTCAGGTTTGCCAGGCGCCCATATGCTGCAGCAGTTATCTGATTGATGTGTGCTTCCGGGAACATGCTCGGTGTTATACTCACCCCAAGATCTTTCTCCTTGTGTGTGTGTGTGAGTGCGTGTGTGTGTGTTTTGTGTGTGTGTGTGTGTGTGTGTGGTGTTTTGTGTGTGTGTGCGGTGTGTGTGTGTTGTGTGTGTGTGTGTGTGGTGTGTGTGTGGGGTTCGTGTGCTTTGTGTGTGTGTGTGTGTGTGTGTGTGTGTGTGTGTGTGTGTGTGTGTGTGTGTGTGTGTGTGTGTGTGCGTGTGTGTGTGAAAAAGAGAATGAGAGAGAGATCGTAGAATGAGTAAACTAAGATAACAGAGTGAGTGTCACAGTGAGGGCCACAGTATGTGCCATAATGAGTGCCTTACCTCCGAGCATAAGCTGTGCCGCTTGCTGTGCTGCCTGGGATGCTCTGAGTGCCTGGCACTGATACATGCCCGGGTCGTCGTGGGTCACACCTGAAACTATCAGCTGTAGTCCGGCTGCCACCACACGCCCGCTGCCCACCACTGGTGTTCCGTCATAATACCTGCACACAACACTGGTTCTCTTAGTAACTGCACACAACACTGTTTCTCTTAGTACCTGCACACATTGGTTCTCTTAGTGCCTGCACACAACTCTGGTTCTCTTAGTAACTGCACACACAACACTGGCTCTCTTTGTACCTGCACACATTGGTTCTCTTAGTGCCTGCACACAACACTGGCTCTCTTAGTACCTGCACATGCAACACTGGTTCTCTTAGTACCTGCATACACAACACTGGTTCTCTTAGTACCTACACACACAACACTGGTTCTCTAGTACCTGCACACACATTGGTTCTCTACTTCCTGCACATACAACAATGGTTATCTTAGTTCCTGCACACACAACACTGGTTCTCTAGTAACTGCACACACAACACTGGTTTTCTTAATACCTGAACACACACAATACTGGTTCTCTTAGTACCTTCACACACACAACACTCGTTATCTTAATATTTGCACACACAACACTTGTTCTCTTAGTACCTGCAAACATCACTGGTTCTCTTAGTACCTACACACACAACACTGGTTTCCTTAGTACCTGCACACACAACACTGGTCTCCTTAGTACTGCACACAACACTGGTTCTCTTAGTACCTTCTCACAACACTGGTTCTCTTAGTACCTGCACACAACACTGGTTCTCTTAGTACCTGCACACAACACTGGTTCTCTTAGTATCTGCACACCCAACACTGGTTTTCGTAGTACTTGCATACACACAACATTGGTTCTTTTAGAACCTGCACACACAATACTGATTCTCTTAGTACCTACACACACAACATTGGTTCTCTAGTACCTTCACATACAACTCTGGTTCTCTAGTGCAGGCACGCACAACACTGGTTCTCTTAGTACCTGCACACACAACACTGGTTCTCTTAGTACCTGCGCACGCAACACTGGTTCTCTAGTGACTGCACACACAACACTGGTTCTCTTAGTATCTGCACACTCTGGTTCTTTAGTACCTGCACACACAACATTGGTTCTCTTAGTACCTGTACACACACAAGACTGGTTCTCTTAGTACCTGCCCACGCAACACCAGTTCTCTAGTACCTGCACTCACAACACTGGTTCTCTAAAGCCTTCACACACATCACTGGTTCTATTAGTACCTGTATACGCAACTCTGCTGCGTTTATTCCTGGCAAGTCTTGGCACTGAGCGTCATGGCTAAGACTGAATGGATCTAGTTGTTTGTCACAGCGTGATGAATAAATCAGAGAGTGAATAGTTGTAAGGACGAGTCATACACTGTGAGTGATGGATGAGTGAACCTGGATGGTTGTGTGCTTGACTATCTCGTTTCAGACTATTATATATTTCCTAGCTCCTTCAAAACAATTTACGTCTGCAACCCTACGACTGTCTCCTGTCAGGAGTGTAGGATATACGACGTGAGTACTGAGAAGTGTATCCTGGCAACACTGAGGGATACAACGAGAGATCTGAAAATTGTATAGTCTCAGGCCTGTAGGGGATACACTGAAGGCTGTGAAGTGCATCCTGTCAGGAGTGTGGGAGATATAATCAAGAATGCTGAGACCTAGCACTCCCACCTTGCCACTATATCAGTATCACCTTGCAATCCTTTTTACCACTATTATCCTGCCACCATCTTTGCTACTCAATCACCCTGGTTTTTTGACACCCACCATTTATACAATGATAAAGTTACTGTTTTATACCAAGTGTTATAGTGCTCTGTTTCTCCTATATTATAAATTTTATATATAATATATAATATATATATATATATATATATATATATATATATATATATATATATATATATATATATATATATAATATAATGTAAGTAATACTGAAAACAAACAGGAATATTCCCTATTAATATTGTGTCATATAAATAAATGAGGCATCTTATCAAAGTGACATCAGCGCAGCCTGGTGGTAGCACACTCAGTACAACCTGGGACAACCCTACCATGCAATTATTTAATGTGATGTTCATGACACACACTAACTATATAATGTTAATGAGCATATGTACAGTAGAAATATTTAACTGTTATTTTTTTGCATTAACTATTATACGAGAATGCAAGAGTGTAGGGGTGTCTTCAGTAGTCAGCAACAGCCAGCTTGCGCAACGGTGTCCCCGGCAGCGAGTCATGTTGCCAAGCGGGTTGCATTCGAGTCCCTCTCTCGATGGACTTATCAGATGTCAACCTCTCACGCCACTGATAGCGATCAAATATTCAGAAATTCATTAGCAAAGCGCATCTCCCTTCTCTTACCTCACCTGCTTCTCTCCTCTGCCCCTATAAATACTGCCTGCCATAGGTGTTATGGTAGCCGGCTACGTACCAGGACACGGAGGCAGCGGTATCAGATACACTGCAGGAGAAGGTAGCCGTGCCTCCCAGGTCAGCAGTGAGGGATCTTGGAGTGACGCTCACAGACAGACGAGACTCCACCACCACCTCTACACTCATCTGTTCAACATCACACACACATGAAAACAATACATTAACATGTGCGAAATTAAGATATTAATAAAGAGAGAAGAGGCAGAGGCAGAAAAACTTGATTTTTAAGGTTAATAATGCCGTACAAGAGATTATTCTTGTTTGTATTTTTTACTCTAGGAATCAGGATTCCTCCTATATATGTTCCGTAAACCACTTGACTTATAAAAGGACAAAAACAAATCTTAAAATGTACGTTCAGTGTCTACGTGCAAGAGCGACTCGCCTGGTCGATGCCTAAGGTGTTGTTAGCAGTGCAGGTGTAAGCATGGGCATCTGAGGGGTGAGCAGCCTCGATCACCAGCACAGCTGCTCCTGGTGACAGAGCGTACGATCGACGGTCCCCCAGCCCATCCAGGTCCCCCAGTCTCACGCCCATGCCGCCCCCAGTGTAAGAGCTCCACCTGAGGGACAAGATGACATTAATGGGAGCTGAGGGTATTTTACTCGTCAGAGAAAAAAAATTTTTTAATCATACCCTCCGAGGATTAAACAACAGTTGATGCAGCAATGCTAAGTATACATAATAAGATATCACGTTGTTGTCTATATCATGTGAGGAACCCGCGAGTCTCCTTACTACAGCATGAAGCTCACACACACACATGGGAAGAAAATGTACATTATGTACAGTCGCAAACCCTGGTCACTAGTCGCCTCTTCTGTTAAATTTGGCCACTTTATTAAGTGCGTTATTGATTACTGCTACATCAATAAATGCAATCTCGTTCAGTCAGATTCCGAAACCCATTCAAGTGTTTTGTGTGTGTGTGTGTGTACTCACCTAATTGTACTCGCCTAATTGTGGTTACAGGGGTCGATTCGTAGCTCCTGGCACCGCCTCTTCACTGGTCTCTACTAGGTCACTCACTCCCTACTCCGTGAGCTATGTCATACCTCTTCCTAAAGCTATGTCTGGATCCTGCCTACACCAGCTCACTTTCCAAACTATTCCACTTCCTGACAACTCTGTGACTGAAGAAATACTTCTAAACATCTCTGAGTTATCTGAGTCTTCAACTTCTAATTGTGACCCCTTGTCGTTGTGTCCCATCTCTGGAATATATTATCACTGTGCACTTTGTCAATTCCTCTCAGTATTTTATATGTTCTTATCATATCTCCCCTGACCCTACTGTCCTCCAGAGTCGTAAGGTCAATTTACCTTAACCTCTCCTCGTAGAACATGCTCCTAAGCTCCGGGATTAGCCTCGTTGTGGATTCAAAACTGGTACTGCATACTCTAATATAAGCTTAAGGTACACGGTGCACAGAGTCCTGAACGACTCCTTACTGAGATGTAGGAATGCTGTTCTTAGGTTTGCTAGTCGCCCATATGCTGCAGCAGTTATTTAGTTGATGTGTGCCTCAGGAGGTATGTTCGGTATTATACTCACCCCCAAGATTTTTTTCCTGGAGTGAGGCCTGTGGTCTTTGGCCTCCTAGGCTGTATTTTGTCCGCGGCCTTCTTTGCCCTTCCCCGATCTTCATGACTATGTACTTGGCGGGGTTGAACTCCAGGAGCCAGTTGCAGGACCAAGCCTGTAGCCTGTCCAGACTCCTTTGTGTGGTGTGTGTGTGTGTGTGTGTGTGTGTGTGTGTGTGTGTGTGTGTGTGTGTGTGTGTGTGTGTGTGTGTGTGTGTGTGTTGGAGGGGTAAACAAAAGAATGGATGAGGAATCGAACTGAGGGCCTTTTTCTGGCAGGCTCTGCAATGATAACAATAGGAGTTTCACCACCGTCACTCTGACGGTACCAGCCACCACTGTCTGTGATGTTACTGTCCCTTCCCACACCACCTCAATGGAAAGGTACAGAAGCGTCAGAAAATGGCGCCTGGTATTATCTGTCACAAAAGTGACGATGGTAGGTCCTGCCCCACACAGATCCTCAGTTCGATTTCCCGTCCATTCTTGTGTTCGCTCACTGACAGTCGTTCTTTACTACCTGTCTTGGGCTTTATGAACTATATGCCTCACGAACGTGTATTGTGGCAGGTAAATCTTACGAAAGTCAACTTACATGCTTATTACTGCTTTTCTGCGTATTTCCGTCTAATTTCTACTGCTGTGATATTTCCGTTTCCATTTAAAAGAGCCGATCTTAGATCTCTGGAAATATAAACAGACAACAGATACATATAACTGCTGAAGATATCCCAAAAAGGGGATTGAAATATACAGATCAAATAATCTCATGAGTTTCTGTCTTCGTCTGGGTTATTACTAAGCACTGACAAGTGTTCGTTACACTTTATTCACATATCCTGATGTTCACCTGAGCCTGACTTCAGGCGTGACCTTACTGTACCGTCGATCTCTGTAAGTTCCTGATTGCTCTTTGTTAAGTCCCAAGGCAGCAGTAAGTCGTGAATACGTAGCAAGGTCAATTACCATGCCGGCAATTATGGGTAATAGCAGACTCGTAGCGCACGTCTCGTTAAATGACTCAAATTAAAGTGAATGAATTTGTGAGGTCCACACCCCAGGAGTTTCTTAAAGAAAATAAGACAATCAGAGTTATGATATCTGATAGTGAAGATGATTCATCCACCAGGAACTTTTGTGAACTGATAAAGTTCAGTAGATGTTAACTTCAAGTCCAGCAGCAACAGATACTTTACTAACTTAAGCTACAAAAGTAACACGTCTTAATAACTTCAGACGCAACTGTAACTGGTTCAGTATCCAAAATCGCCTTTAATACCAGCGTAAGTAAATTATGCAGCAAGAGGAGCATTTTAAGCTGCAGCAACAAAGGTGCTTCCATAACGAGAGTCCTGTACGTGCTAACACTAAAAAGCTTGTGTGATAATATATTTGGACAAAGCAGCAGGAGCTGCGGTATTCTGACTCGCGCCGCAGCCAACGTGCGGGAAGATAAGAGCCTTATAGAAAGATTGCGATCACGTGACACAAGCAACTGTCACACACACTGGCGGTCACGTGTGATAAAGTTATGAAACTTAAACTTATCAAAAAATTTTATGCAATATACATGTATATATATAAATATATATATATATATATATATATATATATATATATATATATATATATATATATATATATGTGTGTGTGTGTGTGTGTGTGTGTGTGTGTGTGTGTATGTGTGTGTGTAGTGTGTGTGTATGCGTGTGTGTATGTGTGTGTGTATGTGTGTGTGTATGTGTGTGTGTATGTGTGTGTGTGTGTGTGTGTTTGTATGTGTGTGTGTGTGTGTGTGTGTGTGTGTGTGTGTGTGTGTGTGTAGTGTGTGTGTGTGTGTGTAGTGTGTAGTGTGTGTGTGTGTGTGTGTATGTGTGTGTATGTGTGTGTGTAATGTGTGTGTGTGTGTGTGTGTGTGTGTGTGTGTGTGTGTGTGCCGAATAGATAAAACTTGGTATTTTGGCTTAAATAGCAACGCTCTTCTTGCTGAGTAACGCAAGTGATAATTTGTGTATGCAATAATTTCGCAAAAAATCATTCTGAATCCTAACGAAAAAAATATATTTCATTGTATTTGTTTATTATTAAATTACTGTAAACTTATCTAAAATATATTTAGTTGAAATAGTCTAAATTAAATTGCGCTTTTAATAATGTTAGGTAAGTTTTCTAAGGTTATTTTGGTACAAAATTAATTTTTATAAATACATAAATGAGGCAGGCCAGGGTTCGACCCCACAACATATTATCCCGCCTCAAGAGACAACACAATGTACGTGTCACCTTATCCATTTCGCCATCGATCCAACAAACATATTAATGGTGCATGATGTAGTGCTAAGCAAACTATGAGGCTTTAATATAACATGCTTATGTATGAAGCCAGACACAGAAACGCACAAATTATTAACAAAGATGTTAAACTTTAACTTTTGTGGAAGCTCCTCTCACAGAGATCTCCTGGGGCGCGGTAAAGTCGATGACTTGGCTAAACTATCATTAAACAAAGAGAGAGAGATGAGTATAATTGAAGCCTCTCAAACCATTCTTAGAAAAGAGCCAGCAGAACAGTACTGGTAAGATGCTAGTTCCTGTCATTGTCCATCATAATGAAATATGTCAAGCGAAACATGTTACTGGAGAAAGTTACAAGATCAGCAGACTACAAGACGTTGTTGTCACTGTTAGGCTGAGGTGAGGCTGTATCTATATAGGGCAGTTCAGTTTATATGGAGATGACAACAACATGAAATATAAAGGTATGCTGATAAAAATACAGAGGCCACATACTATAAAATTATATTTTAGAACGTTTATACTTCCAAACAAACCCTACAAGAAACGAATAACCACCTCACTGTTAATGATATCTTGAATCTTGAGAAAGAGTCCACTCTTGCACCAGCCAGATGACTGATCTTAGGTTAGATTACTAATATCTGTCAGGAAACAGGACAAGTGTTTCCTGACGCGGGTCTTAGCCATATGATGACCCGCTGCTTCTGGTCATCTGACCGAGGCCTTCCGCTGGCTTATGGGTCCACCCCTTTAAAAATTATGGTGACTGATCTTATGTCATCTTGTAAAGTGACCAATGTTTACAGCAGTAATAATAAGTTTATGTCACCTTGCATTTACATATTGCACTGAGTAAATGAATATAAGATTATTATATGACAGTAATATTTGAAATTACTCAATATCTTACTGATGAAAGTAATTATGCCCAGCTGGCTATGACAAAGACCCACTGTGACCTCTGTTATCCTCTTGTTTTGTATTCCAGCTTACAGGTTCAGCAATGGCTACACATTGAATAATCGCACCAGCGACACACTGTTTTGTTACATGTAATGTGAACACATATTACGAATAAAATGTATCAGTGCTTTAGAATACATATATAAACACTAAATTCGCACATATTGTAATTATTATTATTATTATTATTATTATTATTATTATTATTATTATTATTATTATTATTATTATTATTATTATTATCGGTATAAATGGTAGTAATAGTAGTGGCAACAACTGCGAATCACGAGAGGTGAACACAGCATCACTGGAACATGTTAGACTTCCCCCTCCCTGTATTTCTGACACTCACCTTATGACGTCACGTGGAAACACCACAGAAGTCAGCTTCTGTACCATAAACAACAACAGGTGAGCCTCATCAAATTTAACCCACAAATGCAGTCTCACTACCAAAAAAAAAAAGCATTCTCAATAATCCCACCAGCTAAACCCCGCCAAATAATTCTCCACAAAATTTAAGAATCCAACAATCACCTAGTTAATTATAAAAAGAATGACGAATCCTGGCCTACAGCAGGTGTCAGCAATTATAATACACACCAAACGATGAAACAGGTTACACGTTTGAGAGAGAGAGAGGAGAGAGAGAGAGAGAGAGAGATGGGAGGGGGAGGGGAGCCATGCACTTGCAAGTAAGTGATAATATATTAAACGTTTATGTTCAATAATCAAACTACAGAGAATAATTTCGTAGTGACGATTCTTGTGCAAAAAAAAGTTCCAC